ATTTTAGAGAACGAATCACATTTGTAAGTTGTTGCACTCGTCCCTTGAAGAGTGCTTGCTACATTAGCAAATGACCGATACAGTGGTGTCTTTTGTGTTGTTGCTTCAAGAGTGATTGCAACAAGTTTTAGCGTTGTGGTTGCTTCACCCTTTTTTTTTTATACCTAAATAGACTTTTAAATGGGGATCTTAACAAAAAGTGTGGACGTCGTTATATACCAGGACAAACTTTGCGCTCAAGATTAGTCAAAAACAGAATGTTCAGGATCACAAATAATTGGGATCCCGGACGTCTGGCAAAGTGTTCAGGCACCGGCTATTCATTACTTACAAAAGAGTCTAAGCACGAACAATTTAGTAATTTATATTTAAATAAAAAAATACTTGCAACTTATTGAGAACAAATGTGGAAAATAGAAATTGTAAGAAATTTATATATAGTTTTAGCTTTAAAAATTACAACAAAGTATGAAACTTACAAGTAACTACAAATACAATGGATAAAAAATATTTTTTCACTTCAAAGTTTTTCATGTATTATACATTTTTTCATATATAGTTTTCACATCATTGATATTTTTTAGTATTTATATATAAATTGATATTGGTCATATATTATACATTGAGTATTCATTCATGTGTCTCGGATGCACGCTATGACGCTCAATGGGGTCTAATGCATAAATATAAAAAATATATTGATATATATAAAAACTTAAACAACCATGTTACATAAAATTACAAGGTATAACTTATGGTTAAGGGTCATATCAATATTTTGTATTAATATATAAATAAATTAACGTAGTTTAAAAAAAAAATGTTAAACCCCTTTAATCGTCAATAGGTCCGATATATAATATACACTTTCTCTTTTTCAACGAAAAACGTTGAAAGAATGCTTTCAACAAGTGAAAAAATCATAGGCCTAGGATACCTTGGACGGACGAACCACTAAAGAACATGAGTGGGTATCATTGTAGGTGCCCTAAGTAGTTTACTTTTATACGTCATTGAATAACAATTCGTGAAAAAAAAAAAAAAACAGTAGTCCAAATTCTTCACATGTGATTTAGATGTGCATTTTAATAAAGCAACGAGTCTTATTAGAATTTAAATTATTCATATATATATATATATATTGTTTTTCAATTGAACTGCATTATTAATATTGATAGTACTTCATCAGTGCAAAAAAAAATGAGTTAGGAAAAAAAAAGGATAAAATAATATTTTTTTAGTACTTTATTAAAAAAAGTCGTATATTTTTTATTCTTTGTTATTTTATATGAGAAAAAAATGCAATTATAAAATTTTAAATTTTGTAGATTGACACAATCAATTATAATTTTAATGTAAAATGAGATAGTTCAGTAATCAAATTGATTAATTTATGAAAATTTAGTGAAAAATAAAATTAATTATATTAGTAATCAACCAACTTAACTTATAAGTGACGGAAGTTGAAAATAATTTTTATTATAATAATGGTATTAGGTTAAACCACGACCGCTTAGGATTAAGAACGCATCCCATAGCCAAAAATACCACATCCGAATGACAATTTACTCATATATTAACCTAAGACGCTATGTACTTAGAGATGACAACTATTTAGCAGAGAAATGTGATATGGTGATTGAAATCATGATAAAAAAATGAGGTGGTGCATTGAATCCCTGAGAATTAAAATAACTTATAGTCAAAGACTTATTGGTAGAAATAAAGGTCAAATAAAGATGGTCGACACATGCTTTAATTAAAATAGTAAACAAATAAAAATTAATAATAAAGGAATCATTACTAGCAAAGTTTATCTGAAAAGTACTTAAGGAAGACAAAACCTGCGTTGCCACTTGTACGCACATTCGTATGAGTATGGATTTGTACTCTTGTACTCGGATGCTAGGGTCTCCGTACGAGTTTTTTTTCTTTTCGTTAAATCTGGTACAATTTCTATTTTTTTCTCAACTCATAATAAGAATTTGAAGATGATGCTCAGCCAAATGTTGCTTGTTTTGTGTTGTTGGATCACATAGTTTTTTGTCGGATTTGTTTGATTTATTTTTTTATTTTTTATTTTTTTTCGTACGGCGACATACAAGACGTACATGTTCCTGTACAGGTTCCCGTAGAGATATTACCTGTACGTTTTATACGGAAAGACCCCGTACGTGTACGTTATGCAACGCATGATAAAACCTTAATAGAAATGATGATAACATTATAAGTATTCTGTCAATAATTAATTAACTAGAACAAACTTTTTTTCTCAATTAACAAAAATATAAATGCATTGGAAAACTTCAAGATATTGACTACCTTTTATGGAGTTCGCATTGAGAACAAAACAACAAACATGTTGTTGATTATTAATGACTTAAGTTATCAATTGTTGAAGCAATTTGCATAAAAAATAATGAAAATGAACTCAGGTATAAAGTTTATGGTGAAACCCTTCAACACGTTCAATAGAACAACTGACCCATCTAGTAGAAGCAAACCCGCTAAGCCGTAATGGTATGTGGACCAAATATATAAACGAATGAGGTAAATAACTTTCCATTATATATAAAAATATATTAACTAATAGAGGAAAAAATTACTTTATGGTTGTATGCTAAAAATAATGAGGATTGAAAAAGTGACTATGTTTCTAACTATGATAATTTATGACCTTTACCGTAAGAATAAACATTTTTTGTTTTTCACATAATAACAATAAGCATGATTGAAAAGGTAACAATGTTTTTAATTTGAAAAAATAATGTATAATACATAAAAAATAATAAATTAATGATAAGGGGTAACTTTAATGAAGTTATGAAAATAATTTGGAAATAAACTTCAGAAAATCCCGTAAATACAATACAACCCCAAGTGACCCCACCGGACCCGAAACATGTGTTATATATATTCACCATTACCGACCCAATTGCCTGAAGTATATTTTTAAACTCGAACCCCGAGTACGCCGTAGTTTTTTTTAGTGATTAAAAAAAAAAACATTATGGGTATTGTATGAGAGTATTCTTAAGTGGGCAACCGGAGCAACATTTATGGAAAAAATAAGAATCTTTAATAACACGTGTTAGAGCAATAAATAAGGGATTGTACACTAAATGTAGCTATAAGAAACACTCATATAAATAATGTTAAACAAGTTGTGCATATGTTATTAGGAAACATGAGTGCTATCACATAACCAAAGCATGCAACTCATAGAGATATTGGCCAATTGGTAAATCCATGACCTCACTAAATTCGTAAAAAAAAAAATTTAGGAGTTCTGGGAGGTAAAATGAGTCTCCATGAACAACACATTGATTTGCAAGGACGCATAAAAATCATGATGAATAACGATTTTTCACAAAACTATCCATAGAGGAATGTAACGACGAAAACGCACCTCATGATATTGTTGGATTCTCATACCCAAGTGAAGGTCAGGAGTGTGTGAAAAATATCCTATTTCTTTTGTTAACCAAGTCTATATGCAATAGCTATATGCTTTACATAACATGCCTCTCACGACATTTTTGGCAAACAATGGCTCAATGCAAGCCAAATCTTTAGTTTTTTGTGTTGGTCGTATTGTGCACATACTGGATATTGGGATTGGTAATGGGATGACGTGCATGAGGAACTATGCGAAAATGTCCATATGCATAAGTAAAAAAACACGAGTTGTTTAATGAATTATGAGTTGCTTTACAGACTATCAACTGCTCGACTTATAATAGCAAACATGCAAGACCTTCATACATAAAAAAAAGTCAAAAAACCAACAACAATGTATGGACTACCGCACTATATAGAAGAAATTAAGAGCTCCAAACAATAGGTATTTGATGTAGTGCCTTAGTAGGAACATGTATATGCACGACTCACGTGCAGGTCCAAGATTTTGGGTTCATCAATTAGGGGGGATGTATTCACATAATTTTCCCATTGGCGGTCAGCGGAGCATACTGGGAAGGGGTGCTCATATCACCCCCTCTAGTAGGGACCGCAAACTAATTAAAAAAAAAAAAAAAAAAGATGGGTAAGCATCCAAATTGTCGGGTTGATTGCGTAGGGGTATCGGGGGAGTTTTCCTATCCAAACTGTGGGGGTCATCAGACAAGTGTATTTCGCCATTGGACATGGTATTTGTGGAATCTCGCCATCCGAGTTGTCAGGACTGTCACGTAGGGGTATTGGGGAAATTTTTGCCACGAGAACTGTCGGTTCCTACCCGAGTGGTAGGAAGCAAAAGGGCCTTCCTATTTGGGGAGTTTCACCATTGAAACTGTTGGGGTCATTAGGAAGGGATATTTCGTTTTCTGAACCTGTTAACTTTCTAGGCATCATGTAGGGGTACTGGGGTATTGGGGGAATTTCACTATGTTGGGTTCATACCCTGGTGGTAGGAAGCTAGAGGGCTCCCTATTTGGGGACTTCTGCCATAGAAAACTATTCAGGTCATCAGGCAGGGGGGATATTTGCCATTTCGAACTGCGTATTGGTGGAATTTCGCCATTCAAACTTTCCGGGCGTCGTGGAGGGGCTTAGGAAAAACTCGTCATCCTAACTATGGGGTCCATCAAGTAGGGGGTACTGGTGGCATTTCGCATCCGAATTGTTAGGGGGGGGGTATTGGGGGTATTGGGGTGGATTTCCATCAGGCAGGGGGTACTGGTGGCATTTCGCCATCCAAATTGTTCGGGCATCGTTTTTTGGGGGGGGGAATTGGGGGGACTGGGGTGATTTTCCATCAGGAAAGGGGTACTGGCGGCATCTTGCCATCGGAATTGTTCGGGCATCGTTAGGGGGGGAGGATATTGGGGTGATTCCACCATATTGTCGGGTTCCTACCCTTCTTGTAGGGCGTCAGAAGGGCAGCCTGAGGGGGGAGGGCAAGTGGGCCGCTGCGCATTGTGTCTTTTTTCTTGTTTTTTGCTCACGGATGGATGGCGTGACCGGCGGGGCGCCGGCATAGCGACGCTGACGTGTCGGTGTGGTAACACGCGCCACGTGGGCGACACGTGGCACGTGGGGAGGAAGAAGCAGCGGAAGCACACGATGGAGCGGTCGCGCTCTGCGGCATTGATCATCCGGAAGGTGTGCGCGGCGGGGATCTGGCGCTCGGTAGCGCGCCAAACGCGGACCACTCAGCGCGGGGCGACTGCACTGGGCGGCAAATGGGCGGACGCGGACGAGGAAGGCGGCGCGGCCGCCTCGGGACATACGCCATGGGACCAGCGGGACCACGGGGTATGGAACGATCGGAAATCTGACGGCAGCCCTGTGCCCGAATGCGGAATGGGTTTAGGGTTCCCTTTTAGCTCAGGTGTGAACGCAGCTGACGCATCCGCAGGGCAGGGATCTGCCTCGTCAGGTGGGTCCTCGCGACACTACTCCTTTTTTTTTTTTTTTTTTTTTTTTGGGTTCGTCGATCCGTTCTTCCAGGCGCCCTCCACTGGAACGCATGTAATACCGTTTTCCGGCTTGGTGCAGACCTTTTCTTTTTTTTTTTTTTTTTTTTTTTTTGGGTTCGTGTGTTGTCATATTGGTATACACTCACAAAAAAAAGTGTGTTGTCATATTGGGTATACACTCACAAAAAAAAAAAGCAGGACTTTGCCAGACTGCTTTGCTTCGTCGGACTTTCACCGGCTCATCTGGACTTTGAACCTGGACCGACAGTCTGCCCAGGATGCATTTGACTGATGGATAAAGACTCACCAGGGGGGAGGCTGTGGGTGTGTCGGTGTGCGTGTGTGTGTGTGTGTGGGTGGGTGGCTGTGGGTTCCAGTACCGAAAGGATTGATTGTGTAGTTCTGAGAATGTGATACTGATATTGTTATCGTGGCTGTCATGATCATTATGAATGAGGATGCTGATGGGTTGATTGATTGGTCGATTGATTGGTCGATTGATTGGTTGATTGATTGGTTGAGTGCTTGGTTAATTGATTGGTTTGATGATTGATTGGTTTGCTGATTGGTTGGGGTTGGTCGGTTGTTTGACTGGGAGTGGTTGATCGATTGGGATTTGATTGATTTCGATTGATTGGTGGTGACCATAATGACGTTGATGATTGCTTGATTGCTTGATTGCTTGCTTGCTTGCTTGCTTGATTGGTTGCTTGCTTGCTTGATTGATTGATGATGGTCATTGATACTGCTTGATTGATGGATCCTGATGGTGCTTTAATGCTGCGGCTGCTGCTGCTGCTGCTGATGATGATGATGATGATGATGATGGCGATGATGATGATGATGATGATGATGATGATGATGATGATGATGATTAGATGATCACGTGGATATGGAGACGACCTGCAGCTGGTGGAGAAGAGCGATCAGATTTTACTGCTGTTGTTGCTGATGGTGGTGGCGATGAGGGTGATGAAAATCATGAAGGTTGTGTGAGCGGAACATGCAAGAATTGAGAGATTTCCTCTGTTTTCAAAATGGGCGTCCTCTGTATGTAGCTCAGAGGGACTCGATTCGATCGATCCAGCGCACACGGTCGCAGCAGCCGAGCCGTCTTTCAAAAAAAGGAATTGGAATTGTCATGCCATGCCGCGAGATGCTTGCTGTCCGATATAACAAAGTTTGTACCCTTCTTTTCTTTTTTTTCTTTTTTTTTTCCCTTCTTCTTATTCTGTCCTCCTCGGAAGAAGTTTGGGCTCATTTTCCTTCATTTTTTTCATACGTATTTGTCTCCCGTTTTCTTTTTTTGAGACGGTTCTTGCCGTTTTTCACATCTGTTCTTTGAATGCGCTGTCGCTCCTTCTTGGTGTTTAGTATGGGGCACTATGAATAAATCTGCAACACTCACAGAGACCAGCGGGGCAAGGGGGGTGGAGTGAAGAGAAAGAGAAAGAAAGAGAAAGAAAGATTAAGAGAGAGAGAGAGAGAGAGAGAGAGAGAGAGAGAGAGAGAGAGAGAGAGAGAGAGAGGTGATAAGGATGACGGCAAGATGGCACAGAGAATAAGCGATCCACGTGGGCTGACGAAGATGGACGAATAGAGGGCAACCAACCACGTGGATGATTGGCGAAAAACCGAATATTAAGAGAAGAAGAAGAAGGAGAAAGACAAGCAATGGCCGATTGCTCTTCACACGCAAGTCACAGGATATTACAGTCAAGAAATACAAGCGTGTATGCAGAGAAGGGTAATTAGCGCTTGGGCCCTGCGTAAGGATGACACGCAAAAAAAAAGAAGAAAAAAAATAGATATTATTTAGATATTTACATTGAGAAGAAAGTGTGTGTTAGAGTAATGTCTCGAATCTGGAGTTTGGAAAATTCTTTTTTTTTTTTTTTCCTTTCTAAAAGAGTGAAATTGCTGTGAGGGACGTCAGGCGCGTTTCCTCGCTTAAAAAAAAAGAAAAAGAAAAAGAAAAAAAAAGCAAGTGAAATTGTTGAGAAAAGAAAAAGTTAAAAAATGCCCTATTTCCATCTATCTACGACTGCGGATTATCAATTTATCCTCAGCTTCCCCCCCCCCCCCCCCCCTCCCCCCCCCCCCGAAAAAAAAAAAAAAAAAGAGATCAATTTATCACTTTTCACATATATTGAATCGAACTTCAAAGCTCAGAGTACAAACAAAAAAAACGAAAAAAAACGAAAAAAACGAAAAAAACGAAAAAAACGAAAAAACGAGAAAAAACGAGAAAAAACGAGAAAAAACGAGAAAAAACGAGAAAAAACGAGAAAAAACGGGTAGAAATTTCAAGAAAACGGGGAAAAAACGGAAAAAAACGGAAAAAAAAACCGAAAAAAAACGGAAAAAAAAAACGAAAAAAAACGACGTCGTGGGATCAACACACTAGGACTTTTTTACTTATGTGTGGACGCAATTCATCCAGGCGCGGCCGTAAATGCGGTCAGATACATTTATGATAGGGCTATTGTGAGTAGGCCCTCATACATCGTGCAAACACGTGGCCGAACGGAACGCGTGTACGCAAAATTACACGGGGGGGAATTGGAATGGCCGCACTTGGATGAATCTGACCGCACTTGCGTCATATATACATAAGGACACGTCCTTATATACGTTAAACCCTGTATTATCCATTCAGAAAGACATCAATGTCGTATAATACCGTAATACTGGATCACGTCTACAGAAAAAAAGAAGATAATAAAATACACTGAATACCTTTCTCAGCCTTTTCTTTTCTTTTTTTTTTTTCTTTTTTTTCTTTTTTTTTTGGCCTTGAGATATCATCATTGAGCTGACCGGCCCCAGGTATTTCAGAATTATTTTATTTTATTCTGTTCATCTGATTGCAGCTGGATTCGAATTTGGGTCTGCAGTCCAACAGAACGTTCATTGGGTGCATGCACCAACTGAGCTACGGTAGGCCCATTTGGTTTCCTCATCCTTTTGGCTAAAAATAGATCAACTGCAGTATCTGTTCTAATCAATTTGCTACTCTGATCCGTGGTCCATCGGGACAACAACAACAACAACAACAACAACAACCCCCCCCCCCCCCTCCCCCGAAAAAACCAACCTTATGACAGGGTGTATAGGAGGAGGGTGAGGAATAGTTTGTTTGTTGTTTCACCAAGAGCAAAGGCCTCGATGAAACTATATCCGAAGCTGGGTAGTGGTCCCAGTGGTTCCATCAGGTAGTGGTCCCAGTTCCATCAAATGGAACTATATCTGAAGCTGGGTAGTGGTCCCATCAGGTAGTGGTCCCAGTTCCATCCGATGGAACTATATCTGAAGCTGGGTAGTGGTCCCAGTGTTCCATCAGGTCGTGGTCCCAGTTCCATCCGATGGAACTAGGTCCGAAGCTGGGTAATGGTCCCAGGTCCATTGGATGGAACTATATCTGAAGCTGGGTAGTGGTCCCAGGTCCATCCGATGGAACTATATCTGAAGCTGGGTAGTGGTCCCAGTGATTCCATCAGGTAGTGGTCCCAGTTCCATCCGATGGAACTATATCTGAAACTGGGTAGTGGTCCCAGTGGTTTCATCAGGTCGTGGTCCCAGTTCCATCCGATGGAACTATATCCGAAGCTGGGTAGTGGTCCCAGTTCCATCCGATGGAACTAGGTCCGAAGCTCGGTAATGGTCCGAGGTCCATCCGATGGAAGTATATCCGAAGGAGGAGGTTGGTTCAGGCTGTGCCTCGGTGGGTACGGAATCTACGGATGGGTTAAACCGAAGCTGGCTAATTGTCCCAGTGAGGTTTCCTCTGTGGTCCCAGGGTCTTGCTATTCCCGGGTTGATTGTGAGTTTTTCTCTCCTCTTGATGGTAATGTTTTATTTATTTATTTTGTTTATTTAAATGATAATGTTTAATGGAAACCTCTCTTCTGCCCCCCCCCCCCTCCCCAAAAAAAAAAAGAAAAAAAAAAAAAAAAAAAAATGGACTTCATTTATTAATTAATGTATTTATATTAATTTATAGTAATTTATATTTGCTGAGCTTTTGCTCCTGCGAGGATTGGTTTGGACTCGTGCGTGAATCAGTCAGCTGCACAGACAAACTTCTGCTGCACAGAAAAACTTGTGGTGCAGCAGAAAAACTTCTGTTGCAGCAAGTACCAGTTTCTTGCTGCAGCAGAATAAAGGAACTGGAACTTCTGCTGCAGCAAGATTTTCTGATGGAGCAGAGAAACTGGTACTTGCTGCAGCAGAGAGTAATCGAACTGGTACTTGCTGCAGCAGATAAACTGGTACTTGCTGCTGCGGCAGAATGATTCTGCAGCAGAAGTTTCTCTGCTGCAGCAGAATAAAGGAACTGGTGCTTGCTGCAGCAGAGGTGATTCCGCTGCAGCAGAGAAACTGGCACTTGCTGCAGCAGAAGTTTTTCGGTGCATTCTGCTGCAGCCAGGCCCGGGCTGGCACCTGGCCGGTTCTGGTTGAGGGGTCCAACTGCACTCATCGAGAGCTGTCGGAATCTGCGTAAAAAACTTTGAAAAGGCAACTTCTTCTTTCTTTCTTTCTTTTCTTTTTTTTTTTTTTTTTTTTTTTTTTTTTTTTTTTTTTTTGGTTGCAGGGGACGGCGGTCATTGCTACCTCTGCTGGAGCAGATGTTGTTCGGCTGCGGCATTGATACCTCTGCTGCAGCAGTAGTGTTGCTGTAGCAACTGATACTTGCTGCAGCAGAATGCATGTGCATGTGTGTGTGTGTGTGTGTGTGTGTGTGTGTGTGTGTGTGTGTGTGTGTGTGTGTGTGTG